TCTCTTTGATTCAGAGAAGAAATTCATCTTAAAAACCCATACTTAATGAATGACGCAGTTGACAGGTACGGTAACTCTTTGAGGATGATGTGGATGGTGCCAGCAGACGTGTGCGTGTGATATTGTTCACACCCGATTTATGGTGGTTAGTGATTATTTTGCGTAATTTACTCATAAAATATATTTTTAATTATTATTTATCTTATTTATTCAATTGTTTAAAGTCTGGTGCGTGCTCACATCCCTTCGTGATACTGTTGTATACAGCACAACAAACCGTTACCTTTAGCTTTCGTAGTAGTTTTCTGTGTCTGGCGCCTGCGTTGTAGGGGCTGCCGTACAGGCGATTCCGTTTGTTTTGTAGTTACTGTTATAATAGGTAATGTCATTGTAGAGAATATGAAACATAGTTCATATAGTGTGTAAAACCACAGTTGGCGAAGATAATTGTAGAGGATATACTTGCAATAACAGGTATTATTTAGACTAACCCAAAGCTGTGTATACTGAGAAGGCAATACCATACAGTGCACCTAAATCTTATTTACTACTATTAGATTTTCCCTGTTTACCGACGTAGGTGGTGTTCTAACTATAGATTCTGTTTGTTCTTTAAGTGTCATTGTAAAGTTTGATAATTATATGTATAACCGTATGTTTAAGAGGTTGGCTGCTGTAGGTGAGACCTAAAGTATATTATAATACAGTAATATAAACAAAAAAAGGCTTACCCTGAGCTTTTGTGGTAGTTTTTGTATCTGGCGCTGGCGCTGCTGTTGTTGGAGCTTCCGTTTGTTCTGTAACAGGGAAAGCTGTGAGAATAAGCTTATAAATTTAGACCTCGACAACAGAATCTTATACAGATATAATTTTTAAAAATACTCAGATATAGCCTTATGGTGATGGCCACAACAGTAGTAGAGTAATCCTATAATATAAACCATCACTGTACGACTAAATACGTAAAGTTTCATAAATCTCTCATCCAAGGAAGAAAATAAGCGCATATAATGAATCACACATTTCACACGTTAGGATACCAAAGAGGTTGAATGATAGATTAACACATTACCCGCGTCTTGGCCCACATGTGTACCACTAACGATATTCCCTTATTGGGAGTTGGTACACCGGTGGCGCAAAGATGAGTAAAAAAAAAAAAAAAAGTATATAATGTATTTTTTCCTTTTTATACATAGATTGGCTATGGTTTTGGCTTTCATACATTAGCAAGGGACACGAGTGAGAAGAGAAGTAAGCACAATAAAACATACGAGTTTTCTTCGTGGGATTAGTGTTAGAGCGTTGTGAAGGCCTCCGCGATAGAGGGGAGTCTTGGTTTGTCATAACGCTGGGTAACGTGTTAAATGGTGCCAGAAAACGTGTTTTTAGACCACTTATTAAGGTTAGTGGTTTAGTTTTATCCTTAGTTTCATATATATTATCAGTAAGTTTATTTATGCTTTGGTGCGAGTGTGCATTCCTTGTTCTTACAGTTGTATGTAACACAACACATTGCTTGAAAGTCGTATACATCTTTACCTTTAGCTTTCGTGGTAGTTTCTGTGTCTGGCGCCTGCGTTGTAGGTGCTGCCGTTACAGGCGATTCCGTTTGTTTTGTAGTTACTGTTATGATAGGTAATGTCATTGTAGAGACTATGAAACATGGTTCATATTGTGTGTAAAACCACAGTTGGCGAAGATAATTGTAGAGTATATACTTGCAATAACAGGTATATGTGTGAATTATATTTACAACTATAATGGTCAAGGGGTTATAACTCCCGCAAGCGTATTGAAGTTGATATTTAGACTAATCCAAAGCTGTGTATAGTGAATAGCCGTAAACTCGTTACGGTAACATTCCTACTCGTAATGAGTATGAATACAATAGGGAAAAAAAAAAACGAAAATATAAACTGTGGCCAATACAGCTACGTGAGTTATGAATGCGAATAAAGTTCCATAAAAGAAAAATACGAGTTCTTAAGCTTTCTAATTATTAATGTGTTCATGAATGGTGATCATGTAAATAGAAGTAAATTCGTTTTGAATATTTATTCTAAATATTTTTTAATAGTGCTGTCTGCGAGTAACGTCCATAACTTTAGGAATAGTAGTAAATGTGTGTCGACATATACATATTGGATGTATCATTGTTAATGTTGCAGTCATTGTATGCTTTGAATGCAATACCATACAGTGCACCTAAATCTTATTTACTACTATTAGATTTTCCTGTTTACGACGTAGGTGGTGTTCTAACTATAGATTCTGTTTGTTCTTTAAGTGTCATTGTAAAGTTTGATAATTATATGTATAACCGTATGTTTAAGAGGTTGGCTGCTGTAGGTGAGACCTAAAGTATATTATAATACAGTAATATAAACAAAAAAAGGCTTACCCTGAGCTTTTGTGGTAGTTTTTGTATCTGGCGCTGGCGCTGCTGTTGTTGGAGCTTCCGTTTGTTCTGTAACAGGGAAAGCTGTGAGAATAAGCTTATAAATTTAGACCTCGACAACAGAATCTTATACAGATATACATTATACAGATATAATTTTTAGAAATACTCAGATATAGCCTTATGGTGATGGCCACAACAGTAGTAGAGTAATCCTATAATATAAACCATCACTGTACGACTAAATACGTAAAGTTTCATAAATCTCTCATCCAAGGAAAAAAATAAGCGCATGTAATGAATCACACATTTCACACGTTAGGATACCAAAGAGGTTGAATGATAGATTAACACATTACCCGCGTCTTGGCCCACATGTGTACCACTAACGATATTCCCATATTGGGAGTTGGTACACCGGTGGCGCAAAGATGAGTAAAAAAAAAAAAAAGTATATAATGTATTTTTTCCTTTTTATACATAGATTGGCTATGGTTTTGGCTTTCATACATTAGCAAGGGACACGAGTGAGAAGAGAAGTAAGCACAATAAAACATACGAGTTTTCTTCGTGGGATTAGTGTTAGAGCGTTGTGAAGGCCTCCGCGATAGAGGGGAGTCTTGGTTTTGTCATAACGCGGGTAACGTGTTAAATGGTGCCAGAAAACGTGTTTTTAGACCACTTATTAAGGTTAGTGGTTTAGTTTTATCCTTAGTTTCATATATATTATCAGTAAGTTTATTTATGCTTTGGTGCGAGTGTGCATTCCTTGTTCTTACAGTTGTATGTAACACAACACATTGCTTGAAGTCGTATACATCTTTACCTTTAGCTTTCGTGGTAGTTTCTGTGTCTGGCGCCTGCGTTGTAGGTGCTGCCGTTACAGGCGATTCCGTTTGTTTTGTAGTTACTGTTATGATAGGTAATGTCATTGTAGAGACTATGAAACATGGTTCATATTGTGTGTAAAACCACAGTTGGCGAAGATAATTGTAGAGTATATACTTGCAATAACAGGTATATGTGTGAATTATATTTACAACTATAATGGTCAAGGGGTTATAACTCCCGCAAGCGTATTGAAGTTGATATTTAGACTAATCCAAAGCTGTGTATAGTGAATAGCCGTAAACTCGTTACGGTAACATTCCTACCGTAATGAGTATGAATACAATAGGGAAAAAAAAAAAACGAAAATATAAACTGTGGCCAATACAGCTACGTGAGTTATGAATGCGAATAAAGTTCCATAAAAGAAAAATACGAGTTCTTAAGCTTTCTAATTATTAATGTGTTCATGAATGGTGATCATGTAAATAGAAGTAAATTCGTTTTGAATATTTATTCTAAATATTTTTTAATAGTGCTGTCTGCAGTAACGTCCATAACTTTAGGAATAGTAGTAAATGTGTGTCGACATATACATATTGGATGTATCATTGTTAATGTTGCAGTCATTGTATGCTTTGAATGCAATACCATACAGTGCACCCAAATCTTATATACTATTAGATTTTCCTGTATACGACGTAGGTGTGTTCTAACTATAAATTCTGTTTGTTCTTTAAGTGTCATTGTAAAGTTGATAATGATATGTATAGTCTTATGTTTAAGAAGTTGGCTGCTGTAGGTGAGACCTAAAGTATACCTATAATACAGTAATATAAACAAAAAAAGGCTTACCCTGAGCTTTTGTGGTGTTTCTGTATCTGGCGCTGGCGCTGCTGTTGCTGGAGCTTCCGTTTGTTCTGCTAAACAGGGGAACATAAAAGAAAAATACGAGTTCTTAAGCTTTCTAATTATTAATGTGTTCATGAATGGTGATCATGTAAATAGAAGTAAATTCGTTTTGAATATTTATTCTAAATATTTTTTAATAGTGCTGTCTGCAGTAACGTCCATAACTTTAGGAATAGTAGTAAATGTGTGTCGACATATACATATTGGATGTATCATTGTTAATGTTGCAGTCATTGTATGCTTTGAATGCAATACCATACAGTGCACCCAAATCTTATATACTATTAGATTTTCCTGTATACGACGTAGGTGGTGTTCTAACTATAAATTCTGTTTGTTCTTTAAGTGTCATTGTAAAGTTTGATAATGATATGTATAGTCTTATGTTTAAGAAGTTGGCTGCTGTAGGTGAGACCTAAAGTATACCTATAATACAGTAATATAAACAAAAAAAGGCTTACCCTGAGCTTTTGTGGTTGTTTCTGTATCTGGCGCTGGCGCTGCTGTTGCTGGAGCTTCCGTTTGTTCTGTAACAGGGAAAGCTGTGAGAATAAGCTTATATATTTAGACCTCGACAACAGAATCTTCAGAGGTAAAAAGAGATAAGTCAGTACTGATATAATTTTTAAAAGTACTCAGATATAGCCTTATGTTGATGGCCACAGTAGGAGTAGAGTCATCCTATAATGTAAACCATTATTATACGACTAAATACATAAAGTTCCATAAATCTCTTTCATTCAAGGAAGAATATAAGTGTATCTAATGAATCCCACAGTTCACACGTTAGGATACCAAAGAGATTGAATGGTGCCAGCAAACGTGTTTTTAGACCACTCAATAAGGTTAGTGGTTTAGTTTTATCCTTAGTTACATATATATTATCAATAAGTTTATTTATGCTTTGGTGCGAGTGTGCATTCCTTGTTCTTACTGTTGTATGCATCCCAACACATTGCTTGAAGTCGTAAACATCTTTACCTTTAGCTTTCGTGGTAGTTTCTGTGTCTGGCGCCTGCGTTGTAGGTGCTGCCGTTACAGGCGATTCCGTTTGTTTTGTAGTTACTGTTATGATAGGTAATGTCATTGTAGAGACTATGAAACATGGTTCATATTGTGTGTATAACCACAGTTGAAGATAATTGTAGAGGATATACTTGCAATAACAGGTATATGTGTGAATCACATTTACAACTATAATGGTCAAGGGGTTATAACTCCCGCAAGCATATTGGAGTTGATATTTAGACTAATCCAAAGTTGTGTATAGCGAACAGCCGTAAACTCATTACGGTAACATATATACCATAATTAGTATGAATGCAATAGAAAAAATAAAAGAAAATATAACCTGAGGCCAATACAGTTACGTGAGTTATGAATGCGAATAAAGTTTCATATAAAAAATATAAGAAAATACGGTGACATAGAGAAGTTCTTAAACTTTCTAATTATTAATGTGTTCATGAATGATGATTATGTAAATAAAAGTAAATTCGTTTTTGATATTTATTCAACATAATTTTTGAATGATGCTTTCTGCAGTAATGTCTATAACTTTAGGAATAGTAGTAAATGGACGTCGAAAAATATATATTGGATGTACCATTGTTAATGTTGCAGTCACTGTATGCTTTGAATGCAGTACCATACAGTGCACCCAAATCTTATTTACTACTATTAGATTTTCCTGTATACGACGTACGTGGTGTTCTAACTATAGATTCTGACAAGAAAACCGGGCTCCCCTTATAGGCATAGCCCGGGCGAGGCTCTGCTTTGCAAATCAAAAAATAAATAAATAAATAAAAAAATATAGATTCTGTTCGTTCTTTAAGTATCATTGTAAAGTTTGATAGTGATATGTATAGTCTTAGGATTAAGAAGTTGGCTGCTGTAGGTGAGAGCTAAAGTTTACTATAATACAGAAATATAAACAAGAAAAGGCTTACCTTGAGCTTTTGTGGTAGTTTCTGTATCTGGTGCTGCTGTTGTTGGAGCTTCCGTTTGTTCTGTAACAGGGAAAGCTGTGAGAATAAGCTTATAAGTTTAGACCTCGATAACAGAATATTAAGAGGTAAAAAGAGATCAGTCAGTACTAATATACAGATATAATTTGTAAAAATACTCAGATTATAGCCTTATGTTGATGGCAAAAGGAGGAGTAGAGTAATCCTATAAAGTAAATCATCATCGTACAACTAAATACATAATGTTCCATAAATCGCTTTCACTCAAGGAAGAAAATAAGCGCAACTAATGAATCACACATTTCACAAGTTAGAATCCCAAAGAGGTCGAAAGATATATTAAATGGTGTCAGCAAACGTGTTTTTAGACCACTCATTAAGGTTAGTGGTTTAGTTTTATCCTTGGTTTTATATATAGTGTCAATACGTTTATTTATACTTTGGTGCGCGGGTGCATTCCTTGTTTTTTTATTGTTGTATACATCCCAACACATTGCTTCAAGCCGTATACATCTTTACCTTTAGCTTTCGTGGTAGTTTCTGTGTCTGGCGCCTGCGTTGTAGGTGCTGCCGTTACAGGCGATTCCGTTTGTTTTGTAGTTACTGTTGTGATAGGTAATTGAGTAATAAAAATGTAACGTTCTCTGTGGGGTCTTATGGCTTAATGTTAAAGACTGTAGTAAACAGAAAATGTAAAACAAACCCTCTATGGAGACTTTAGGTAATGCTTAAAACTTCAGCAGATGCTGGTGATTTCAATAAAGTTCGTGCAGTAATTGTGTGTATATCTGTGTGTGCGTGCGTGTGTGTGTGTGTGTGTGTGTGTGTGTGTGTGTGTGTGTGTGTGTGTGTGTGTGTGTGTGTGTGTGTGTGTGTGTGTGCGCGCGCGCGTGTGTGTGTGTGTGCGTGTGAATATATGTACATTTGATATGCATATGTACAGAGTTAACTGTATAAATGTGTTTCACTGTTAATTTTGTCTACTGGAAATGTTACATATTGTATGGTGCATCCAAACTCTATGTACGAGCATTAAGTAGTAAGAATCTCTACCTTCTGCTTCTGTGGTAGTTTTTGTATCAGGAGCAGGTGCTGCTGTTGCTGGAGCTTCAGTCGGTTCTGTGGATGTTGTTGTGGTGTTTACTACGGTTGTAAAAAATGTTGTATTCAGTAGACATAGCCGTATGTTGTAGATTACTGTTGCTATGAATGAGAGATTAAGTTTTTTGGTGTGTTTTGTTTTTCCTAGAGATTTTCTAATATGCTCTGAAATAATATGGCCTTTCCATTAAATCGGAAATCAAGTTTGTGAGACTGAATGCATTGATGATGGTCAAATATTTCCCCAAAACATCGAAAACTGCAAGAAAAATTTGGCCACAGCGTACTAACCCAACTGACCTCAACCCAACCTAGCCTAATCTAGCCTAGCATACCCAACTTTACCTGACCTAGCCTACGTTTGCTTCCCGAGGCTTATGAAAAGAACGTCTATGGACTGAAAAATACAGCTTCTACAATCAAAATCTGCAAACATTCTAGTTATTTATTTCCGACAGATAATTTTGTTGAATTATCTAATATTCGCCTGAAAATCTATTTGGGAACAGTAGTTTCATATGTAGGTTCCAAATGGACGATGCAACAAACAATAAAAAATTATACCTTTTGTGGTGGTCTCTGCATCAGGCGCAGGTGCTGCTGTTGTTGGAGCCTCCGTTTGCTCTGCAATAGTTAATATTGTTGTAGAATTGAAACTATGTATTTTCAGTTAGCCCCAAGAGGAGAATCTACAGCAGTAAAGCGAGGTTAGTTAAATCTGCTATGTAAATATGATGATAGTAAGTTTACTGTATTAGAAACAAATTGATGACCACAGTGGGTGTTGCTTAGATGCCTCAGATAAATCGTCACTGTAGGGGTACCTAATTCCTTAACTTCTATAAATCTCTTTGATTCAATAAAGAAATTAATTCAACATGAACGCAACGGGTGTAGACGTGTGCTTGTGCTAGTTTTAACACAGTTTATTGTTGTTAGCGTTATCCTTTTTAATAAATATTGTTTTTTATTTATTTTTATTTTTATTTATTCATTGTTGGTGCATGCGTGCATTGCTTGTTGACATTATTATATGCAACACAACAAACACCTAGAAGTCACACGCATCTTTACCTTTAGCTTTCGTGGTAGTTTCTGTGTCTGGCGCCTGCGTTGTGGGTGCTGCCGTTACAGGCGATTCCGTTTGTTTTGTAGTTACTGTTATGATAGTTGCCAGAATAGTAGAAATGTGAAACATGGTTTTCGAGGAGCTTTATGAATAGGATTCCAGAGGATATCATACTTACAGTAAGTTATATGTTATATGTTTCATGATAATAGCTGCTGAGGAAGTTATGGCGGTGAATGTGTAATTTCAGCGAGGGGAAATGTTGACTCAAGTGCTCCAAATTTTGTTCCATAATTAACTACCATTTACTCTGTGAAATCAGTCATTCAAATCTTTCTAGAATTTTACTAATCTGAGTTGCGTAGATTGAATGTTGCAATCCTGAGCATGTATACGGGATACATTTAACACTAGATCGTGAAAAGGAAAACAACCACAATAAGAAAGATTTATTTTCACTTTATATTGTGGGTGTTTTCCTTTTCATCTTTGTGAACACGTTACTGTGTTTGTGTTTGCATTCATACTAGATTGTATCACAGTACTATTTTTTATGGCTACATTTTGCACTAAAACAGTAACCTAAGGTTTTAAGTCATGAGGATCTTTTTATGATAATTGATAAATAAGTGAAATGTTTAAATAAGGCAACATGTAAAACACAAAGCCTCGTGATTAAACGCCGCCTTTAAGGTCATTATAATAAATTTATAAAGAAATAAATAATCCGATATGATTTGTACAGTGTGGGATCTCCTGGATATTTACCTTCAGTTTTCGTGGTAGTTTCTGTATCTGGGGCTTGTGTTACCGGTGGTTCCGTTTGTTCTGTAAATGTTGTGATAAGTACTGTAGTAAACTTTTATAATCTTACACAATGAAATTCATCCTTTTGGCTCATTTATCATAATGAATGCAGGTGATTATTACGAAAGGAAGATTTTTTTTCAGGACTTAGGATGCAGAAAGGAATATATGAAATACAAATCCCATTTGAAAAATCTCTATGGTTTACAATATTTAAACCATTTCATGTTTCTTCCCAGCAGGTTAACTAATTCATTCCCCTGATGGACACAGAATAAAGGGCACTGAATTTTGCTAAATACAACTAAATATCAACCAAACCAAATTTTGAATTTTCTTATATTTTTTAGAGATCGTGTTGTTGTAGCATGTGCATACATCAATAACGCTAAGATATCTATCTCGCCCTTAAAGTTTTAAAAGGCCCAGATGGGGTGTTTCAAAAATCTTTACCTTTCGTGGTTGTTTCTGTATCTGGGGCCTGTGTTGGTGCTGCTGTTACTGGAGGTTCTGTAACTGGGGCTGTAATAGATGATTATGTGTAAAAAAAAAAAAAAAAATGAAGAATAAACTGAAATTCTTAAAAAAAAAATAGTCTGAATTGAAGACCATGTTGCTCCGTCATGAGTGTATAGATTTGTGTATTCATATTTATTAGAAATACATTATATATGTGTGTGTGTACGTGTGTGAGTATATATATATATATATATATATATATATATATATATATATATATATATATTTGTATATATATATATATATATATATATGTATATATATACATATATATTAAGACCGCATAAAAGCCATAAAAATGTTTACCCTTAGTTGTAGTTTGAATAGTAGTCTCTATATCTGGAGCTTGCGTTGTTGGTGCCGTTTGTTCTGTAATGGTTACTGCAGTTGGTTAGAAGTTTAAAAGCGGAAGTTGAAAATGGTTACAAAGATATAACAGAAAGAGAGATTGAAGTTTCTCTAATAGTTCTCACAAAAATAGGTTATCTTAACTCTTAGAAAAGTTAAATTCCCTACTATCTACCTAAGCAAACTACTTACCTGCACATTGTACAGTAAAATGTACACCCCAGACTTTACGCGTTTCTGTTATTAACTGACTGTATTTAGACGTATTTTTATCATAAGCATTATCTTTATTATTCTAAGTTTTTGTCATTATTAGTAATATCTTTATGATCATTATAGTTATTATTGTTTTTGTTATTATTATTATTGTTATTATTATTATTATTATTATTATTATTATTATTATTATTATCAATATTAATATTATTATTGTTATTATTATTATTATTAATATTATTGTTATTATTATTATTAATGTTATTATTAATATTATCATTATTATTATTATTGTTATTATCATTATTATTATTATGTAACAGGATGACCACTAGCCTTATGACTATGATCATTTTTATTATCATTAATTATGTTGCTGTTATCGTTATTTATCATTAGTATATTATCATTATCTATTATTATTATTATCATCATCATTATTACTATTATTGTTATTGTTATTGTTATTACTATTGTAATCATTGTTATTCTTATTCTGAACATTATTATTATCATTATCATTATTATCATTGTTATTATTTTCATTATTATTATTACTATTATTATTATCATTATCATTATTATTATTATTATTATCAGTATCATTATTATGTCACTGTTATTGTTATTGCTATTATTATTATTAAGATTATTCTTATTATCAGTAGCATTATTATTATTATTATTATTATTATTATTATTATTATTATTACTTACTATCACTATCATTACTTATAACAATTTTAAGATTATTTTCATTATCATTATCATTATTATTATTGTCGTTATTGCTATTATTGTTGATAGTATCATTAGAATTCTTACTGTATTCCCTGCAGTAACGTCCGTCCAGATACTGATTTGACACAATACTTTAAAAGTCTTGGCATTGATGTCAAAAAAGTATTTTTTTGTCGCAAAGGTCAACCTGTTGTTACTACTAGTAAGTCGAATATATGTTTATGCTCCTTATGTAATTGTCGTTGTAGATCTAGCTGGTGCTGTATGTTCAAAGTGTATAGTATCTATACCTGTAGGCCCAGCTGTCGTAAGTCCAGCTGTCCCTGTTGTTATAGGTCGGATCGTTGACGTAGGTCCAGGTGTTATTGTAGGTTTAGGTGTTTTTGTAGGTTCAGCTGTTGTTGTAGCTCCAACTGTGGGTGTAGGTTCACCTGTTGTTGTTGGTCCAACTGTAGGTGTAGGTCCAGTTGTTGTTGTAGGTCCAGCTGTTGTAGGTTCAGCTGTTGTTATAGGTCCACCTGTTGTAGTAGGTCCAACTGTAGGTGTTGGTCCAGCTGTTGTTGTCGGTCCAGCTGTTGTTGTCAGTCCAGCTGTTGTTGTCGGTCCAGCTGTTGTTGTCAGTCCAGCTGTTGTTGTCGGTCCAGCTGTTTTAGGTTCAGCTGTTGTTATAGGTCCACCTGTTGTAGTAGGTCCAACTGTGGGTGTAGGTTCACCTGTTGTTGTAGGTCCAACTGTAGGTGTAGGTCCAGCTGTTGTTGTCGGTGTAGGTCCAGCTGTTGTAGGTTCAGCTGTTGTTATAGGTCCACCTGTTGTAGTAGGTCCAACTGTAGGTGTAGGTCCAGCTGTTGTTGTAGGTCCAGCTGTAGGTGTAGGTCCAGCTGTTGTTGTCGGTCCAGCTGTTGTTATAGTTTCACCTGTTACAGTAGGTCCAACTGTAGGTGTAGGACCAGCTGTTGTTGTAGGTCCAGCTGTCGTTGTAGGTCCACCTATTGTTGTAGGTCCAACTGTAGGTGTAGGTCCAGCTGTTGTTGTAGGTCCAGCTGTAGGTGTAGGTCCAGCTGTTGTTGTAAGTCCAGCTGTGGGTGTAGGTCCAGTTGTTGTTGTAGATCCAGCTGTAGGTGTAGGTCCAGCTGTTGTTGTAGGTCCAACTGTTGTTGTCGGTCCAGCTGTTGTAGTAGGTCCAACTGTAGGTGTAGGTTCAGCTGTTGTAGGTTCAGCTGTTGTTATAGGTCCACCTGTTGTAGTAGGTCCAACTGTAGGTGTAGGTCCGACTGTAGATGTAGGTCCAGCTGTTGTTGTCGGTCCAGCTGTTGTAGGTTCAGCTGTTGTTATAGGTCCACCTGTTGTAGTAGGTCCAACTGTAGGTGTAGGAGCAGCTGTTGTTGTAGGTCCAGCTGTAGGTGTAGGTCCAGCTGTTGTTGTAGATCCAGCTGTTGTTATAGGTCCACCTGTTGTAGGTCCAACTGTAGGTGTAGGTCCAGCTGTAGGTGTAGGTCCAGCTGTTGTTGTAGGTCCAACTGTGGGTGTAGGTCCAGCTGTTGTTGTAGGTCCAGCTGTAGGTGTAGGTCCAGCTGTTGTTGTAGGTCCAGCTGTTGTAGGTCCAGTTGTTGTAGTAGGCCCAGCTGTTGTTGTAGGTTCACCTGTTGTTGTAGGTCCAGCTGTTGTTGTAAGTCTACCTGTTGTCGGTCCAGCTGTTGTTGTAGGTTCAGCTGTTGTTGTAGGTCCAGCTGTGGGTGTAGGTCCAGCTGTAGGTATAGGTGTAGGTGTCACTGTAGGTGCAGCTGTTACAAGTTCATCTGTAGCTGTAGGTTCTGTTGTTGGTCCAACTGTTGTAGTAGGTCCATCTGTAGATGTAGGTGCAGTTGTTGTTGTAGATTCAGCTGTAGGTGTAGGTCTAGCTGTTGTAGGTATTGTTGTAAGTCCTTCTGTAGGTGTAGGTGCATCTGTTGTTGTAGGTCCAGCTGTTGTTAGAAGTTCAGATATTGATGCAGGTGCAAATGTTGTAGGTTCTACTGTTGTTAAAGGTTCAGCTGTAGGTGTAGGTCCAGCTGTTGGTGTAAGTGCAAGTGTTGTTAAAAGTTCACCAGTTGTAGGTCCAACAGTTGTTTGTACATCTGTAGGTGTTGGTCCAGCTGTTGTTGTAGGCCCAGATGTTGATGTAGGCGCAAGTGTTGATGTAGGCTCTACTGTTGTTAAAGGTCTAGCTGTAGTAGGTTCAGCTGTTGTTGTAGGTCTAGCTGTAGGTGTGGGTGCAGCTGTTGTTGTAGGTCCAGCTGTCGATGTAGGTGTGAGTGTTGTAGGTTCACCTGTTGTAGGTCCACCTGTTGTAGGTTCAACTGTAGGTGTAGGTCCAATTGTAGGCGTAGGTCCAGCTGTTGTCGTAGGTTCAGATGTAGGTGTAGGTCCAGCTGTTGTCGTAGGTTCAGATGTAGGTGTAGGTCCAGCTGTTATTGTAGGTTCACCTGTTGTTGTAGGTCCAGCTGTTGTTGTAGGTTCACCTGTTGTTGTAGGTTCACCTGTTGTAGGTCCAGGTATTGTTGTAGGTCCAGCTGTTGTTGTAGGTCCAGCTGTAGGTGTAGGTCCAGCTGTTGTTGTAGGTTCAGCTGTAGGTGTAGGTCTAGCTGTTGTTGTAGGTCCAGCTGTAGGTGTAGGTCCAGCTGTAGGTGTAGGTCCAGCTGTTGTAGGTCCAGCTGTTGTAGTTCCAGCTGTGGTTGTAGGTTCACTTATTGTTGTAGGTCTAGCTGTAGGTGTAGGTCCAGCTGTAGATGTAGGTCCAACTGTTGTAGTTGGTCCAGCTATTGTTGTAGGTCTAGCTGTTGTAGGTTCAAATGTAGGTGTAGGTCCAGCTGTTGTAGGTCCAGCTGTTGTTGTAGGTCCAGCTGTTGTTGTAGGTCCAGTTGTAGTAGGTCCAGCTGTTGTTGTAGGTTCACCTGTTATTGTAGGTTCAGCTGTAGGTATAAGTCCAGCTGTTGCAGCTGTTGTTGTAGGTTCAGATGTAGGTGTAGGTCCAACTGTTGTAGTTGGACCAGCTGTTGTAGGTCCAGCTGTTGTAGTTACAGCTGTTGTCGTAGGTCCAGTTGTAGGTCCAGCTGTTGTTGTAGGTCCAGCTGTAGATGTAGGTCCAACTGTTGTAGTTGATCCAGCTATTGTTGTAGGTCCAGCTGTTGTAAGTTCAAATGTAGGTGTAGGTCCAGTTGTTGCAGGTCCAGTTGTTGTAGGTCCAGCTGTTGTTGTTGGTGCAGCTGTTGTTGTAGGTTCAGTTGTAGTAGGTCCAGCTGTTGTTGTAGGTCCAACTGTAGGTGTAGATCCGACTGTTGTTGTAGGTTCACCTGTTGTTGTTGGTCCAGCTGTTGTTGTAGGTCCAGCTGTTGTCGTAGGTCCAGTTGTTGTAGGTCCAGCTGTTGTTGTAGGTCCAGCTGTAGGTGTAGGTTTAGATGTAGGTGTAGGTCCAGTTGTTGTAGGTCCAACTGTTGTTGTAGGTTCACCTGTTGTTGTAGGTTCAGCTGTAGGTGTAGGTCCAGCTGTTGTTGTAGGTCCAGCTGTTGTTGTAGGTCCAGTTGTTGTAGGTCCAGCTATTGTTGTAGGTTCAGCTGTAGGTGTAGGTCCAGCTGTTGTTGTAGGTCCAGCTGTTGTTGTAGGTCCAACTGTAGGTGTAGGTCCGGCTGTTGTTGTAGGTTCACCTGTTGTTGTTTGTCCAGCTGTTGTTGTAGGTCCAGCTGTTGTCGTAGGTCCAGTTGTTGTAGGTCCTGCTGTTGTTGTAGGTCCAGCTGTAGGTGTAGGTCCAGCTGTTATTGTAGGTGCAGCTGTTGTTGTAGGTGCAGCTGTTGTTGTAGGTGCAGCTGTTGTTGTAGGTTCAGTTGTTGTAGGTCCAGCTGTTGTTGTAGGTGCAGCTGTTGTTGTAGGTCCAGCTGTTGTTGTAGGTCCAGCTGTTGTTGTAGGTGCAGCTGTTGTTGTAGGTTCACCTGTTGTTGTAGGTTCACCTGTTGTTGTAGGTCCAGCTGTTGTTGTTGGTCCAGTTGTTGTTGTAGGTCCAGCTGTTGTTGTAGGTGCAGCTGTTGTTGTAGGTCCAGTTGTTGTAGGTGCAGCTG